CCCCCAAATAGCCCGGCCAGCCCCCGGCGGGAGCGCTGCGGCCCCGGCTCCGGCCCGAGGATGATCTTACAGCCCGGGAAGCTCCAAACCGCCGCTCCTGTCCATAAAAAGCAAAGGGCTTTGAGCATGGAATCATCGGGGCTGCAGGGATTGCGCCAGCGGGGGGGAATCGCTCCCGGGAGGCCGCGCCATAGGAGAGGGAAGAGAGGAAAGGGGAGAAGAAAAAGGGGAGAGGGCAGAGGGAGCAAGACTGGGGGCGGTCGGAACCCCAAAACGTGGCTCAGTCCTGGCACCTGCCCCTCCAAGGGTCTGTAAAACACACCCGGAGCTTTGCTCCCATCATTCCCCTCCTCAGCCACCTCATCCGGAAGGGAAAACACGATCCAAACTGTGCCCCAGAACTAGTTATCAGGAATACAGACAGGGTGGCAATCCCTCATTTTTTCCCAGTTATTGCCCCCAAATCCCAGGCTATCCCATGGCACTGGCTCTGGAGACCATCCCGGGGTGCCAGGGAGCCAGGAAAAGCTGAGGAACAGACTCCGGGCACCTCCACAGCAGCAGAACCCACTCGGCTGCAAGAGGCCACATGGGGATGTCCTTCCCGATGGGAAGCCAAGCTTTCCAGGCAGGGAGAGGAACACCACTTCCAGGTCCAAGAGATAAAGTTGGAATTTAATTAAATTAAGGAGACATTTGCAGAGCTAGAACATCCAAAGCCGCTCCCAGCGACACCACACGCTGCTCCCCATCCGGACACACAGAGACACCAACCCCTCCAGTACCTCCTGGGCCACAGCCAGGCCCACTCATCCACAATTCCCAGGAAGGTGGATTTCCTCCTCCTTCTCTTCCTTGGCCCCCTCAGCCAGCCGCGGGGCCGGTCCGTGTGTCCGGGTGCAGGCGGATCTCCACCAGCCGGACAGCACGGAGCAGCACGGCCAGCTGGGAGCACAGCCGGGCCACCACGTCCAGCACAGGATCCACCAGGTCCCGGATGCCACCCAGCACCTTCAGCAGGAAGAGCAGGAGCGGCTGCAAGAGGCTGTGGAACGCCGCCGCCAGGAGAGGCTTCAGGACGTGGTCGCCAATGGCTGTGAGGACGCCGACCACCAGCGCCTGGATTTGGGATGAAATCCTGGGTTTGAGGGATATTTGCCAGCGGGAGCCACCAAAAATGGGCTGAGACACAGAAATTCTGCTATAGGAGGGGAAATTTGGGATAGCGGGAACCAGAAGTTTCTTCTCCCGATGCTGAAGGATTTTGACGTCCTCAGCTCCGGCCATGTCTCCGTGGGGATGGGGCGGCTCACCTGGACCACGGCCTCGCCGAGGAAGCGGATCAGCTCCACGAGGAAGAGGCTGAACACGCTGACCAGGCACCGTGGGATGGAGAAGAATTCCCGCAGCTTCCGCTGAACTGTCCACTCAGAGCTGCCGTGGAGACGACGGGATGTCAGAGCCGGAGCTCCGACCCGCCGAGGGAATGAATCCCAGAGCGGATCCAGTGCCCCAACCGGCTCCTCGGCACCACATCCCAGCTCCACAGCCATCAAATTTGGGATGAGAAAGCACTGGAGCCATGTTTCCCCCTGGCTCTCCCTGTATGGCCAAACCCAGCCTGAAGTAGCCCCCAAACCAAATCCACCGGGATAGTACCCAGAGCACAGCTGGCCGGGAGCCCGGGAAGTGCCAGGCCAGCTCCAGGGAATCCCGTCCAACACCACCACGCCGCGAGCGGCTCCGGCGTGGGCAGGGCTGGG